TTTCTTACTCAGGGTGATGTTTTGCCAGTGGCTTTCTGCCTAAGCTGGGAGTGATGCTGTCTGTACTCCTCCTCCTTTCTCCCAAGTAGCTGCCTGTTTTTGAATTCCACAAGTTAATATGTGTTAATGATAGCATGTGACAGAGGAAGTGCCTCAGGATAGCTCTGAATAATAGTCTGGACTTTAGCCTCAATTTGGGAAGGATTTGATTCTCTCTTTATGTTCTGGACAGATAACTATAAACAATCATTTGTCTTTTTAGTGCCCTGTTTCCTTTTGGGGTTGTTAATCAAATGAGACCGTTGCCATCCCAAGATCGGAAAGAAATTAATGAGGTGCTTTTGCTTTGATATGGTTTAATCAACTGTAATTAGATTTGATCCAGAGTTGTTGAGATGCGTGTGTTTTTTAAAAAAAGCAATGGCTGCTTAGCATCATGTTTTAATTCGGTATTTGTCTGAAGAGCAGCATAGCTGTTCCAGGACATTGTTGTCAGGGACTCCTTAACTGGCTTAGGTGTGTAGTGACTTAATTTTTGCTTGCACCACTTGCCTCGTTTTTGCTGTGGGTCTTTTTTTCTTCTTCTTTTTTCTTGGTGCTATTGTCAGGCTGTTCACAAAATGTCACTCCAGCAGCTGTTATTGGAAGGCTGTTCTAAAACCTCAGTTCTCTCATTATTATAAACCACCTTTAGTTTCTAGCCTCATTTTCCCCTGTGGTCAGTTTTTCTTTGACCCTGTGCCAACTCTTTAGTTTACCTCCCACAACTATTTTTCTCTTCTCCACGGTGCCTTCCCCTGAGGGCCTTTTGGAAGCTTTTGGCATGATAAGGTGAAGGGTATTGGCTGTTGTTGCAGGGAGGATGCAGAGGCGGGGAAAGGAGAGGGTCATCTGGTACCTGTGGAGCTGGACAGTAGGCAGGTTTGAGAACTGGGGCATTATGTCACAGGGTGGCACAGATTTTTAAAGACAAGGCACAGCAGCTTGTTAAAAACATCCTAGCAAAAACACTAAAAGGAGTCATATCCTGTTAGGCTTAGTTTTACAGGATTAAGTAAACAAAGTTCTCTTAGTCACCTTCTGCTTCTCCAAGAGCACTGGTAATCTGTTTTCACGTTAGTTTTAGGTATTTCTGCAAGCTGTGTTGTCAGTTAAGGCCATTCCCAAACAGCCTGGCTCCTCGGTTGTGCTGCAGAAGGGGCTGTGGTGCAGGTTGGATCTGGCAGCTGGTCTGGGTCAGCGTAGTTGAGCTGAATGGTTGGCTTCACCTTGCTTCAGCCCTGCGCAACTGAATTTATCGACAGTATTTGAAATGGGTGATTTCTGCTTAACATAAACGTGTGTCTTCTAAGAGGCTTGTGGTGCCTGATTTGTTCAAGTGTCATCGGTGAATTTTTCATAAAAGCATCACGCTATGGCTCATAGTTGTCCAGTGACCGTATAAAACCTCCAGAACATTTTGCTCCCTGTTTCTGTAGCAGAGCTCATCAGTCCTTGTAACTTGATAATCTATCTAGTTTTTAATGCCATCACCTTTTTTTTGAAATGCTTGTTCTATGCCCTGGTAATGTCTCTTCGTTTTGCATTTAAAAATGTCTAATTTTAAGTAACAATTAGCTCACTTCTAGTTGTGGTGGATCCAGATTTGAACCAATAGTGATCTCCACAAATTTTTGTCTTAAAAGAAAAACAAATTGCAAAGAGAAAGTGCCAAATTAATTTGCATTCTACCAGTAGGGAGTCAGTGTTGCATTTTAACCCTGCTTTCATTGTCTCCTGAATTTTTCTTTCACGGTGCTTTCTAAAGCTTTACACAAGTGAAACTAAGTGGGCAGTTGCTTAACCAAATATTAGTCACATCCTTTTTGCTTAGAAAGTTTGGTGTCTAGTACCTCTTTTAAGTATGTGAACAATCTTTGCAGATCAGGAGAACCGCAAAATACTTGTGTGGTTTATCTGGCGCACAAAATTGTAAGGCAGGTTTGGAAGCTTATTTTGAAGCCCTGCAAGAGTTGGATCAGATGCAAGGGATTGAATTATTCTTCCTTATCTCTATCTCTCCCTCTTTGGGGGTCATGGAACTGCTAATCTAATCTTCACAGGGAATGCCGTCAACCTGTTTAATGTCATATTGAGTTTGGGGGAAGATATACTTTGTAGAATGAAGTAGCTCAAAATAAGCTGATAGACTCTTTCTGTTTCTGGTATTTTGTCTCTGCAAGCTTTAATATTTGTCTGCTTTACTAGTTTGTGGGTGACCAGGTGTCGTCTCTGTCACCACCCTCTATTTCTGTCAAATGAGCCAGAGTTTTAAATACCATCCTGTGCTTATGTCTCATCTGGATTAAATCTGAACTTGTGGTTGATCTGGTGTGCAATATTGGCATTTATGGTCATGTTTCTCTGGCCTCAGATAGTTTGGTGGCTGCAAATGGAAGTTCTAGATGCCTCATCTGAATGGCATGCTTCCTTAGAAATTCAAGTAGATCACTGAGCACCATATCCCACTGCCCAGTATCTTCAGAATAACTAAACAGGGGTCTTCACTGTCTTCCACAATCACCTTTTAGAAATTTGCTAGAGAAAAATGTTTCCATGTATCAAAACAGCTATTTTAGTGAAGGTGAGGGCATCACCTTGTTCAGAGTGCAAAGGTGAGATTTAAGACTCTTTAGGATGCGATTGACATGTGCTTTGGAACAAGGTTGTTAATATAATTCCTGCATTTAGATAATTCACAAACTTCTTTTAAATTTGCAAATTTAGTCACTTTATTCACGAGCAATATCTAAATGTGTTAAGACAGGGTGATTTTTCTTTTCTCTTAATTCTTGCTCCTTCAGTCTGAGGAGGGCCAAGTGGTCTTATTCTTTTGCAGGTAAGGTAATTACCTCGCCTCAGAAGTGTTGCAGGTCAGACTGCATAGTCTATGGATAGACAAGTTACTTAAAACATAAACAGGACTGAAGTAACTTTATAAGATATAATTTCAGTGCTTACAGAAATTCTGTACAAGCTATTTGCTTTCCACCATACTTTTCTTAGCATAAAAGACTTCTTTGACCAAGCCTAAGGTGGTCTTGATTAACTCTGAAATACAACTAAAACTGTCCTAACAGACAGCTTCCATGCCTTGTCGTGGTGATGTTGACCGTATAAATACAATTTCCTTCCAGTCCCATCCTGTCCTGAAAGGAGGAAATCTTGTTGCCTAGTTTGTTATTAATGTGTATACTTTCTTGCCAAGGGCCCATATTACTGAGCTACATAGCTTACAAATAGCTATTATCTTACTCTTCCTTCCGTTCCCCTTCAACAGGAAAAACATAAATGAAGGCAACTTATAAAAAGTGGATGTTGCAAAGAGGAAGAAAATGCATCATATTTTGAATTGAGGAAGTAGCCGTTGCTACTCTTTAGTTGTATACAAACACCATTTTGCATATGGGTTAGGTTTTCGGGGTTTTTTGTTTCTTTGGTTTTTATTGCACACAGTAGCTGACGTACTGAAATGGGAGACTTGGAGTTGAGTATAAAATGGCAAAAGTAAAATTTACAGGTGCGCATTAGCCAGGCAAAGGCCAGGTTCACAAGTGATGGTTGCTATGTGGCCTGTGGAAAATAGAATGGATTCCTTTTAGGTAGTGGAGAATAATCTGACCAACTTCTTATGTTTCGGGATGTGCAATGTAAATGGACAAAAAGAACATTCTTTCCTCTAATATTGCTGGACCTTCTGTTAGTCCTCCAACTGATGTTGTACTACCTACTCCAGGATGAAGTGAGCATGTTTGCCATTCTGCTGTCAGATCAGTTAATTGTAGTCTTTCTCTTTATTTTTATAGAGCAAATTCGATTAAAAAATATAAGAAACGTATATGGAAGATGCTTGTGGTATCGTTTGCGACTGTTAAAACCACAACAAAATATAATTCCTACAGTAAAGTAAGTACGTTTCATTTGCGTGACTTTCCATTAAAGCAATTTCTATATTTTTATTTTTATAAAAATATATATAATATATATATTTATAATTCTATAATAATGGCTGTTGTGTCACAGAAGAGACATTTGCAATCTGCTATATTTGAATAATTAATAGTTAATCGTTATCTAGTAGAGCTTGAAATCAAGATGGATGCTGTCCGTTCTTTATAAAATATCTGCTAAATGAGACCAGTGAACCTCAGCACTAATAAATAAGTAAACAATGTATTTATTTCTTAAAAAAAAACCTGCACCTCACTGAAATTAGTGGTGCTAGTGATGTCTTATGATTTAGATATTTAATGTGTAAACATATATATTCAAATACACAATGATAATATTTTGTACATTTGAAGTTGATGGTTTTATATGCTTTAGTTCTTTGTTTATTACTCCCACCTTCAAAATATTTTGCTGTCTGGTATACATCTGTTTCAGCTTTTTATTTTGTTAAAATTGATTTTGTCTAGTATCAGGTTAAAGTCATCCTTTAAAAATAGGAAATACTATTGTATATGTGCTAAGGACAGACAGTTAAAGAATGGAAAGAGTCTTTGTTGATTATGGCTTGCCTTTGTTTTAAAAAAAAAATTAATTAGAAGTCTGAGCAGCTGTCTCATCTGTGTCAAAAGGTGGTGGTGTAACTGAAATACTCACACCTGCTTTAAAATGGCTTTAATGTTTCTCACTATTTTAATATTGTTTCTTGAAGACAGATCTCAAATGACTTCTTGTGTTATTTGTAGAATTATGCTAGAGCTAGTGGATGTATACATTTTAAAAATTCTTTCTTCCAAACAGGAAAATAGTCCTCCTTGCTGGCTGGGCATTGTTTTTGTTTCTTGCATACAAAGTTTCCAAAACGGACCGAGAATATCAAGAATACAACCCTTATGAGGTTTTACATTTGGATCCTGTAAGTAATAGCGTCTTTCACTAGCCTGTACTCCTATAACTGTATAACCTATGTTTAGATGTCAAATTTAAGACTGTGTTTTTTTAACATAAGAAGTTAACTTTAGTGAATGTATCTAGTGGTTTTGTTCTTTTTTGGCATCTGAAAGTTGCTGCTGCATATTGTAAAGTCAGTTGGTAGGTATTCTTTGCCTATATGTATACTAATTTATAATTTTCCTATCTAACGCCTTCAAAATTCTAATAACTTCCTTAATATAGTGAGGTGGGTTTTTTAATCTATTTCAAATCTTACTCTAATATTAGTTTTCCCCGCTTGGTACAGGAAAACAAAAAAGTCGTTCTGCTTTGTATGCCCTGCGAAAATCCTCTCAGTAGCCATTTTTAGAGATGCTGCTTAATAAACTGTATAAACAGGAATGTGGATTCATTTGATTTACAGTTGTTGTACAGCAATATTTCTCTTGTAAATGAAAGGTTTCACTAAAGGGTGTTGGTGATGCACATTTTGATGTAGTAAAGGTTACCTTGAATCTCAGTTGCATCTGTGAATGCAAACAACAATTTCTAAACAGTGATACCAGCCAATTGGTTTATTAAACTGGGGAAAAAAAAGATGCATTATTTATCTAGAAAACAGATGCAGCGCTTTATTTATATTGAAGGTCTGATTCAAATGGATATAAAAAGTTATATATCCCGAGGAGACGAATAGACCTTCTGTACATCTCTTAAACTCTAACTTGGTCTTGTCAAACTCTTTGCTTCATCTTAACCACAATGCCTCAAGCAGATTCTCTGCTTATGGTAGTTATTTCCTGATACAAAGCTCCTCTTTTGAATAACAGTAGTCATCTTCAGGTCTGAAGTCTGAGGTATACTTTACTCTCCGGTCTAAAGAAATACACTGTGGATACAGTTCAGCGCGAGAATGTGGAAGAACTTTGAATGTACCTGTTTTGATTAAACTTGATGTATATTGTTGGTGTGGAAGAGCTTAATATGTATGTGAACATTAACAAATACATCTCTTGCCATTAGTGATGTGACTTCTTGGCATAAGGATAGGCATCACTGGTACTGCTTTTCTATGCTAAGAAAGCCATTATAGTAGGTATGTGACTGCAGCCTGTTTCTAGCTAGACAGTAGAACACCACCTGCCTGTCATGTATGGAGACAAATTATTTAAACCTCTGCTCAGTTCCTCTGTGAATGTCTGATTGCTGACTCGCCTTCTCGCTGACGCACAGGAACAAGATAAATTTTTACTATTGAATGGTATCTGTTGGAACCGCGCGGTTTAAATGTTCATATATCTGGGTTAACTTTGTTTAAACAAATCAAGCTAGGGATTAGGTCATCAGAGGATTTTCCTTTGTTATCTTTGGCAAATTTCAACAAGTAACAACCGTAAAGGGGGGAAAAAGGTATATATGTAGTGAATTGTAACTTAATGTTTATCAGTGAAAATTTGTACACACACTCAAGGTACATGCAGCTTATCCAGGCAAAGAAACCAATACTGGAATGCTTCAAGAACTGATAAGAGGGATGGAGCATATTGTCATAAGGACAAGCTGAATTAAAGCCAGAGATGTTACAAGGCGGGTGAAGAGATAGGTGTGAAGATAGATCAGTTGATGTAGGGCTCAGAATAAGAGTCTAAGATTCCAGAGCGTGTTTGTTTTATGTATTTCTGTGCTATCAGATGATATCTGTTAAATCCCCTTGAAAAACTTCTAGTTCAGACTACATGAAAGTTAACAGCTTTTTTCTGTTACTCTTCAAGTGGAACCTTTAGAGGTGTTGCCAGCCCTGCTGATGTTGAAGTCATACAGATGTTGATACAGATGTTGAAGTGTTGTTAGGTAATGGAACTGTTGTTGCTGTTAAAAAAACAAAAAAACCCAAGCTTAAAAAAAAAAAGTCGCAGATGCAAATACTTGAAAGTTTTGGTACACAATAATTTATTGCTGCTTTGGATTCACACTGTGGCCAAGATTATTTTTTTATCTTATGTTAGCATATCAGCTTTTAACACGAGGCTTTTATCTCCAAAGGAGAACCACAACATAGACACAGTCCAGATAACGTACATGCACCTTATTTTATATATAATATCAGTACTTTGTTTTGAGCATAGAATAGCTCTTTTTGGAGCACATCACTCAGATTCACTAATACATAAGGCGCTTAGATATTATTACTGATTTATTGAATAAGCGTCCTTACTGCCATTTTAAAGGTGGGATCCAAGACATAAAAATGAAGCTCAAAACTGATAATAATTTTGGATTCTTCATGTAAGACAATCAGGGCCTTATTTTTTTCTGTAAGTCGTTAATTTAGGGAGCTCTATGTTTCAAGCAGGGTGCCGCTTGACACCAACTGTCCTAGGCTACTAAGCATTTCTGTAAGTCAGGTCTAACCTCTGTAGCCTAGCTTTTGAAAATGAGGAGTAAATAATTCATGATAGATAGAAAGCTTGTCATCAGCTTGTCATCTCTTAGCAGAGAGAAGAAATTAGGATTTTATTTTTTTTCTAATGGGCAGCATTCATGTGAGCCATGAAAACCCCTCTCTTCTCCATCAACCTGGTTTCCCCTTCCTGACTTTCCAGCTTCTGCTGCTCATCAGGCACTCTTCATCTAGTCTTGAAATGGCCGTTTTTACTTGAAGTCTAGTTTATTATGGAGTAAATTCGTCCTGTGCATTAAATGAGGCGGGCATGCTGTTGAAAAATAGTGTTGAAAAATGACAGACATATTGTATAAAGAGATAAAATAACAGCAAATGAAGCCTCGGGGTAGTTTAATTTCTGGTTTAAATTTCTTGAAACTGTACCATCATCTTTATATAACTTGTGTGTTTATTATGCAGTTAAGGTCAGCATGCTAGGCCTCTCTACCACAATGTTGAAAAGTCCTATGGTAATGGTTCTGTGAAACTTAGCAGATAGGTTACTAGAAAAACTATCTGCGCTTACTATAAAGTTTTTGGGTTTTCTTGAGTAGTGAAGTTCACAGTTCAACCTGAAAGTTAATGCAGTTGTGTTGGTGGCATTTAACAACGTGCTGTAGTAGAATATAAATTGATCTCTTTCTCAGGTATAGCTAATGTATTCCCTTTGTTCAAGAAGTTTGAAATAATTTATGGGTAGGATGATTCTAGTCAGAGGCATTCTTAAGCATCAGGGCAATCCACTATTCCTGGTGACTGACAGATTTATTTCTGCCTATAAGCTGCAAGTGTACCATCGTAGTTGATCTATGAACTCTTTTCTGTTTAAATAGAAGAATATTGCAAGTGAGAATTCCTCGTATTCATGAATATGTTTAGGAAAATATAAGATTTGTCAAATAGATAAGGCGAGCTAACATTTTTTTTTTCCTATGGGGGGATAAACAAGGTGATCCAGAAAAAAAACGATGTCCAGCCATTTTAGTTTCTTTTTGTTTGAGAATGACTTCTAACTTGTTTCAAAAATATGTTATATTTTTATGTAAAAATGTTATTAGAAGAATAATCATGTTTCCATGAAATGCCTATGTAGTTTCATGATCATGCCATACTAGAACATAATTCTTTAGTTCAATGAATGGTTGAGAGATATATTGCACAATGTGCTTTAGAATGTAGATACAGAAGAATTTATTTGATTTAAGGTATTTATTCATAACTCAAAACTTTCCTTTTTAAGGGAGCAAGTGTATCAGAAATTAAGAAACAATACCGTGCACTGTCGCTAAAATACCATCCAGATAAAGGAGGAGATGAAGTTATGTTCATGAGGATTATCACAGAATCACAGAATGGTCAGGGTTGGAAGGGACCCCTGGAGATCATCTAGTCCAACCCCCCTGCCAGAGCAGGGTCACCTACAACAGGTTGCACAGCGTCCAGGCGGGTTTTGAATGTCTCCAGAGTGGGAGACTCCACAACCTCTCTGGGCAGCCTGTTCCAGTGCTCCACTACCATCAAGGTAAAGAAGTTCCTCCTCGTGTTAAGATGGAATCTTAATGTTATGGGGAGGGAGATCTCTGAGGTAATAGCAGGGGTGACCTAAGCAGCCAGGGAAAATGTGTTTGGCTATGTAATGAACGTCAAAACATGTCTCATTTCAGTGCCTACTTGTTCTGCACAAGTTATGAAGGATAACTTAATTGTTTAGCAACTGTCAGAATACTGTAAGGTGCTGGGTCTTTGCATTAAAATCCCATGTCAGCTAGGAAACGTGTTTCCAGTGTAGCACATATTAAGTCTAAAACAAAGGCCACCCTCCCGTCCCCTTTGTGTTGAGTCAGAGTCAGCTTCTTTGCAGCAGCTGTGGTAAGTCACTGTGGACAGTCTGAGCTTCATGGCACATTGCTCTTGCCCTCTGAGCCTTCTTCCATTGCAGGGGCATACTGGGTCAGTCACATCAGCAGAGAGCCTAGCGAGTTGGTGATTTCTGCTTTAAGTCAGTTGTCATGGTTGACCTTCCTGACTGAGAGTCTGTTTTGGGGTGAGGTGAGAAGGAGAGCCAACACCGTGCTCACTTGAGCAGTTTTGAAATCATAGTTTCTGCTTAAATCATCTACATCACTATGAAAGTCTCTTCAGTAGGATATTCTGGTGTTGCTTTCTGAACTCCTGGAACATCTCACTTCTTTGCTTCACAAGCTAGGTCTCAAGTGCTCGGTGATATAGTTTGGTATTTCAAATGCTAGCGCGAGGGCTGTGGCAGAGGCATATCTTGAAGTAAATGATGGTGAAGTTCCTCAGCCATGCTGTCTTGAAAGAACATAAAAGCTACGCATTCAGTGAGTCTGCTTGTTAACAAGTGTAAGACTTAGAAATGATGAGGTGATGTCTGACTCACTGGGTTTCTTCTGTGAGACAAAATCTTCCGTATAGTGAATGCATGATGTTCTGTTTCCTAAAGCAGTATTCTTCCTTCTAGTAAACAGGGATTCTGTTTGAGGTGGTATATTTCTGCCAAGAAACTGTCATTACAGAACAGGCGCAGAAACTGTAAGATTTAGGAGGTGGTGTCTTAATTTATTTCTCTCTTCTTAAATATGAAACCAGGGAGTTCCAGGAAAAAAAAGTAACCAAACATACACATGCTATCAAAGGCTAAAAATCTAGAATAAGAAAATTAAAAGCCCATGCGGATAACTTCTGCTTTATTAACTCATCCTGCATATTCACCTTTCTTCTAAAAAAAAACCCCATGTTTTCAGCCTTTGTCTTTCAAAATTTTCTGTACTGTAACCTGGCATTGAAAAATGTTCTTTGCTGATGGCTACGCCGGCACTCTCACGAAAGGGAGATGTGATTGTTCCATCTCCTGTACGAGGGTGCATTTTGAGTGTCTGATTTCTTTTGCTGTCAGAGTGCTAAAAGAATTTGCCTGTGTATCATGAGGGAATACAGCAGTATTATTTCATATCAGATTTCATATAAACAATAGCAGAAGTTGTTTAGCTTGCCAAACCATCTCTGAAGGACAATACAAATGCCCCATTTTAAAGTTTCTGTATATTAATGATTTAGAGAACTTTCTTTTACTTCTGTATTAATTTAATATCTCTTCTTGAAACTAGCTTAACTGATGAAGAATCACGAAAAAATTGGGAAGAATTTGGTAATCCAGATGGACCACAAGGTAACAATTATGAATAAGTCCTATAATTTCTGTACATTGAGCTGTGTAATACCTCATCATTTGAGAAGCACTCAGATCTTAATTTATGTAGAATAACTTTTTCCTATGACTTGAAGCAATGCATCTGATCAATTCTTTCCTTGTGAAACTGGCTTGGGGTGGTGGTGGGAGGGAAAGGCAGGAAAGAGATTGCTTTCACGTTTCTCAAACTTATCAGGGAAAAAAGAGAAGGTTATTTTTTTAATTAGTCAGCTTCAGTAAGTATCTAGAGAAATGTTCCAATATTAAAAGGAGTTATAAGTGAAAAATAGAATAATACTTATGAGCAACTTGCCGATTTTAAACATTTCTTATTATTTATGTTCAAATACTATAAATGTATATTGAAAAATTAATGACTAACCATACTGCAATAAACACACTCCAAAGGGATGTATGTGAGGATATGTATATCTTTAAATAAATACTGTATACACATCTGCAGTCTTCTGGAAGCAGTACTGTTTGGGTGTAACTCTATGCCACCTTCATCTTGAGGAGTCCTGGTGATTATCCTTATGCTGGTAGATTGTTCCTGGCCAGTAACTACATGGAAATAATCACGATGATGTATTAAAGTTTTACAGTAGATGATCCAAACTAAAACCACTTAAGACTGAAAGTTAATGGATTTCCCCCCCCCCCCCCTCCTATTTGCAGTTGCGTAAGTTGCTTGTAAGTTGCATCTTTGTGACCATTGTTTAAGTGGACTAGTTGTGAGGAAGAATATTAATAGTATATTTCTAGCTGTTTCTGATGTTCATTACAAGCAAAAAGGACTGCCGTCTGTTAGGACAGGCTTCTTTAGATCTCTGCTTGTTGATGCCCTGCAGTTTGTGGGACTAAATTATACTATGTATCTACGTGGAATGAGTTAAGGCCAGCTTGGAAATTTTTTCTTCTGAATTATATCCTTCTAACATGGGAAATTAATTTTGAAAGGGAAAACAACCCCTAGCCCCCGAACCAGTGTTTCAAAGAAACAATCTTCCCTCTTCCTTCAAAAAACCAGCTGTGCCAACTAAATCATAGTCTGACAAAGGCATTTCACATGGACTAAGGTGGTGGTTCAGTTTCTTTAACCACAGTGTTTTACAGCATCACAAATTTCTTTCAGCTCCTAGCTTCGTTTGGTTTCCTAGCCAGGCAAGTAGGAGGATTGTGTCCCTCTTGCTGCAAAATACAAATAAGATCTTGCTTCAGAAATGCCATCACAATATCAGCAAAACAGTAGTGTAAATTTCACTTTGATATATGCACAAATAGCTTTCCCTAGGACTTTTCCTGATGATAAACTGTTTTTTGCATCTACAAGTTACTAACTCAGTGTCACCAAGGTATGGGATTTCAAGTTAGGCGGTATGTCTATGCTCTTGAACAGACCTGAAGCTGTGACTTCAGAAGAAAACTTGGTCAAAAGCTGAGAATTTAAAGGCATGAAGATCCTTGTGTGGTTGGCTGAGAGATCGCTTTCAGAAACTTAAGGGACTCTGGATTCCTGAAGGGTGAAATGAAATGAGTCTTTGGTTGGGTGGCAGTTCGTTCTGTGAGTGGGAAACCTCCTGCTGTTCTGGAACCTAACTCAGACGGCGGTGGAATTGGAGTTCTCTGCTTTGCTTCTTAGGTCTGGCATTGTTGCTTCATCTGAAGGGTAGGAAGAAGCCTGACATTTTCTCTCTCCCATCCTCTATTCTGTAACTTTGTTCCACATTGAAGTGCGAGGAGCTTTCTAATTTAGTGAAAGTCATCTTCTCATCATTTATACACCTGTAGTGTAAAAATCTGTATCCAAGCTATGTATTTCATTTTTTTTTAGTTCTGTGTGGTCAAAGAACAGAGACAGTCCCTTATAGAGGTATATTCTGGGATGAGATGAAGCACATCTGGTGTTAGGCATGTCTAACCAAGTTAGATGAGGTACAGCCCACCTTCTGTGCTCAGCACAAAGGAACAGCGAGCAGCATTCCTCTATCCAACTAAAGCCGTGAGGAGGTTAGAGGCAGGCAAACAAGGTTTCCTTCTCTTCGGCATGACTTGTTCCATTACTAAAAGTAAAATACTGAATGTGCAGAATCATTTGAAGAGTGTTTAAAAGGAGGTGAGGGGGGCTGGAGAGTAAAAAGATATGCTTTTAATAATGTAAGGCAGTTTTAGTAGACTGTTTGCCCTAGTTATTTGCTAGTGCTTCAGCTCTGCGAGCATGGATGGCGGCAAGGAAACTCTTAGACTAGAAGAGAAAGAGCTTTGTACTGAGCTGCTTCTTTTCCTGGAACAGTTTGAAGCTACAGTCCTAAAGGTCAAAAATATTGTGGGAAACTGAAATTGATACCACCACTAAAAGACGCATTGCATTTTTAGTAGATTTTTCTAAAAATCCATAACCATTAACAGATGGGGAAGTGTCTCCAGGCCTGTCTCCAGAGCAGGGCATTTCCTATAACTTAATATGGTAAATTCACTGGGTGCTATTCTGTTGAACTCCTAAGCTTGAGCTGTGGTCGAGTTGGTTTAATTTGAGTCTCAACAAATAGTCAGAAGTCACGTTAGGCTTATGCATAACAACTGGTTGTCTGAGTTGATGGCTGGCACAATCTGTTGGAGACAGTATCTAAGTACATAGGGGATCCTGGTCTGTCCTTATTTAAGGCAATACTCACTGATACCTACTAGTACTGAAGAAAGCGCGGGTTTTGGTTTTCTTTTTTTTAAGCAGGCTCTTGAAATTTGTAATAGTGTGGGGTTTTTTCTTGGTTTCTTGGAACTTTTAGTGTTGGGATAAGTAGCATTTGCAAGCTTCAATTTACTACCCCTAAATTTTCTGAAGACAAGCTATTTTATGCTATTCTGCATTCAGATCTGTGTACTGTAGATGTTACTGTTAAAGAATCATGTCTTCCATTTTCTGCAGCCTAACTCCTTTTGAATTGAAAAGTATTCCTTTCTTAACAATCACACAGAAATTTGAACTGGAAAAGGGTTTTGTTTTTACAATTTACAGCTTAGTATTCTTCCTTAAAGTTACAAACTGATTTCAAACTTTTTCCATAGAATTCATTTGCTCAGTTTTCTTGCAGTTCAGTTATTTACTGAACTATATATATTTAAACTGCTGAAAACTCTGCAAGGCAAAGCTCAAATCATTCTATCTGTGAACTCTTTTTTTTAATATATATTAATAAATCTTGCGTATCTATTTCACTGCAATATGTTAAGCTAAAATTGTTGGTATTTCAGTTGTTGCATTTAAGTCTTATTTTATTGCATACTTGAAGATTTCTAATTTCTTTTTTGATTTTGCTAAATTTGTTAGAATTTTGCTTATTGAAGTAATAAACATGAGGATTTTTTGTAGGTTGGTGATTTTGATGTTGTTTTTTTGTTTATTAGACTTAAGGAGTTGTTTTAAAGTCATATTAATATTTTATAGTGAATTTCTTTTCTTTCATTCTACAGCCACAAGCTTTGGTATAGCTTTGCCAGCTTGGATCGTGGATCAGAAAAATTCGATTTTGGTGAGTCAACTGAAGATTTTGAGGTGAACTTTCAAGTGTTCACTTTAAAACGTTTGTGTATAATACTGCACATTTTAGTCAAAACATGTAGTTAGTAATACTTTGGTCCAAATGCATATCTTTGAAGCAAATTTCAGGAGTCAAAAAGTGTTACAGTAGCTTAAATCTAAGCTTTGAGAGGAAAGTATTAATATGCTCGAAATGATCTCATTGCAAAGATAATGGGATTGTACTGTGGTCACCCCTGCTACAAAGTGTGTGTTTGCTGCTGCAAGGAAACACATATAGAACTACTTTTTTGCCGAATTTCTGTAGTTCCATTTGGTTTGCTGTAATCATAGTGTCTAAATGTTCTTCCTATTGCGTTTGTTGCTGCAAGGTACTTGGCTTACCCGCTTGATTTCTCTTAATGCGGTTATCATCTCTGTCCACTGCATCACAGTTGAGCTGCCAACTCTTTAATTATTAAAGAAACCCACCTGATACAATGTGTGTATGATCTAAAAGATTACTTACACTAAACTGATACTCCTTATTTAAACCTGACCTAACGGATTGTATTACTTGTAAGTTATTCAGAAATAATGGCAGGTATTATGCCATAAGATTACATTAATTTGTAGTAGGCTTGTGGTAATACTACTTGAGTGTATATTAGAATAAAGTTTAAACAAGAGTAGTATTAAGTAAGTGAAGTATCTAATGCAGCATGTTTCATAATTTTTCTCTAGGTTTTGCTTGTGTACGGATTAGCATTTATGGTTATTCTTCCAGTTGTTGTGGTAAGTATTATCTAATTGTTATTCTACCCTATATAACCAAGCTGTAAACAAAGCTGTCTTAGACATAAGTAGAGTTGCTCATTCTTGCCTTTAATGGAGAGAGTAAGCAAGCAAGCTTTTTTTTTTTTGATATGGGTGTTTTCTTTTATTGTGGAAAAAGTGTAGCTGCTGTAGAGTTTCCAAAAAAAATGCAGTCCCATGATAGAGAGAGGGCTGCAGGGGAAATATTAGATATCACAATAGTTAGCCTGAGTTGTGTAATTCATCTTGTACCTTCTGTCATTCATCACATGAAAACTAATATAATCTGATGAACTCAAGTATATTCAGTGGTGGTACTGAGGAGGCACGACTGAGACGTCTGTAGCTGGTGGTACTAGAATGATGACTGCATGTGGAACAGGTTGCTGTTTTGGTTTCTCCTGGCTGCCTTTGTTTTTATAACTTGAATTTTTATTGATCTTCTGTACACCATGAGATGTCTGCCCTTGAGATTTCTTTGTGTGAGGAATCAATTGCTGGGTGAGTGGTATTTCAGGGCTTGGGTTTGCCCTACAGTATTGCTTTTGAACAGCGTCCCTTATCCAGTGATTGTGCATTTGGGGTATGGCATGAAGAAAGGCTCAGAAAATTAACACTCGGAAACCTTCATGCTCTTGGGAATCATAGAATAGTTTGGGTTGAAAGGGACCTTTAAAGGTCATCTGGTCCAACTGCCCCTGCAAAGAGCAGGGACTTCTTCAACTAGATCAGGTTTCTCAGACCCCTCTCCAACCTGACCTGGAATGTTTCCAGGGATGGGGCATCTACCATCTCTCTGGGCAACCTGTTCCAGAGGAAGATTTTCATTTGAGAAAGTGTCCTGGGGTCTCGGCCAGCTGCTTGCATCTCTGTGTGCAAGAGGCTCAGCCAGGCATTAGCGCTTCTCTTTGAGAGTCTTTCTGCATAATTGAAGATTTAGTGGGGAAAATTAGATGTAGGGATTTCAAAAAGTTGTTGAATAAGAAGTCTAAAATCCAGGGTGCAATGTCTGCATGTTTTTCCTGTCTTTTCTTTTAGGTTTCAGTTGTCTGTTGATGATTTTTTGTATACATGTACTTTTAGTGATTTATACCAGGTTTGTCATAGCTCAAGTGAAAGTAAACATCCTTTCTGTTGTTAGGAAGAAATGTCCTGAGCAGAGAAAAAAAATAATCTGCCTCTTCTTGCCCCTATACCAGACGTAGACTTCTGCATTCAGGCTTGTCACTGTAAATTTCTTTTATAGTCAGTGAAGAGGAATAGTCATTTTTGTGGAGCAAGTTATTTTATCATTTCATTCTAAAGTAGACATAGAAGATGATTCATGCCTTTAATGGGCCTGTTTCTCTTTTATGAATCAGTAAAGAAGCCGACGTTAACTACAGTGTAGTCATCTTATATCTGAGATGGGCATCTAAAATAAAGTAAGGCTAGTTCTATACGCTTTAAATTCAGATCAACAAAAAAGGAAAACACTGATACATAGTGTTTCCTGGACCTCCACTGACCTAACTACTGTTCTGTACATGAGACAAGCTATATCTGCAAAAGCAGTTAGGGCAGCCTCTTTCATGTGGATTTGGACTGGCTATAGTTATATTTTTCTTCTAGTACCTGCACTTAGACAAAAATTTGATTGCTATGGGTCTATAATCTAAATTGATCTGCAGAAAAACTTAAAAAGAAGTTGTGTACTATTTTGTGTCAGGGTTCATTTATTCATGGAAGAATCAAACCTAATTTATTTAAAAAAAAAAACAACCCTCAAAGTTTGTGGGGAGCCAGAGCCATTCCTAGAGCATTTTCCAAATAATTAAGTAAATTGCAGAGTTCTTGTTGTAGTAGGGGAATTTACACTATTGCCTATTAAATTAATAGTAGTAAGCATCACTTACTACTTTACTGCTTGTTACTTTTCACTTGTGATAAACTTTACAATAGATTGAGATGTATCTTGGATGCTTTTTCTCATGTTAGTGAGCTTTGTTCACAAGGAGGAGTTTAATGAACAGACTGCAGTTTATAACCCAGCACACCATTTTTCTTAAAATACATTATAGAGTACAATCACTGTACAGTGAATTCCATAATTTGAAGTCACTGGTGTAATGCTAATGAGGGAATTATTGGAGTGTTTCTGAAAGTTTGGAAAACTTTTTCTGTCAACCTGAAGGTGTATGGCTTAATTCTGAAAATTTGTAGCAAGGGCACTGGGCCACCTCCAGATTCCCCTTCTGAAAAGCATTTTCTGATTAGGTGACTTAAATTATTTTTTGCAAGTTTTCTTATAATGAAAGAAATCTCTTATTTTGTTCTTGGTTTGGTCTTGTTCTGACTAAACTGAATTTGATTTGGATGCTGTGTTGTAGAGTAAGGAGTTACCATGTATGTAGAAAGGGGTCGATCCAGTGGATTTACTGTTTAGTGGATTCACTAAAACAACACCGAAAACAAACAAAGCAGTGTATATGGGTGTGTGCATGTATTGGGGGGAGTTCTCTGGGCTAGAGGTCATCTAAAAAACTTTTAGCATTAGATTCTCTCAGATGAATATATTGCTGTGCTTTTAAAGTCAGCAAATATTTTTTTTTTGTTTCCCTCTCCTTTCTAAAATTCAGTTGACCTTAACATACGTGAAATCAGTTGGGCTGAGTTATCTGGTCGTGAGCAGACATGAAGCGATCCAGTATAGCTGTTTCGTTGCTTCATCGTAGCTGACGTCAGTTTGTTCTTGTTAAATGTCTCAGGGTTCCTGGTGGTACCGATCAATACGATATAGTGGAGATCAGATTCTCATTCGGACAACTCAAATATATACATATTTTGTCTATAAAACACGGAACATGGACATGAAACGTAAGTAAAAAGCATTGTGGAATGTTGATGTGTTCATCTGGAAATGTTGGTCTGCTGATGTTAAAATGTTTCTGATTTATAAGCCTTTGTTAGGTTAAAATAGTGTTTCTGGTTCTTTTAGAGTGTTTTTAAAAACTTCGTTTTGTGGCAGGTGGAGAGTACTCTGTAAGAAGACAAGTATTTGGCAGAGGGAGTTACGTAGTTCTATATTTATGTTTGTCTACCTATGCATTAAAAAAAAAAAAAAGAAAAAGAAAAAAGGGTATTGTATGTTGGGAAAAACACACTGACCTGCCTGTAGTCTGAGTTACTATGTGGCCACTAGGAGTGCAGCCTCTCTCTGTGTGTTTTCTTCTGTTAGTGTACAAAAGCGGCTTTGGGAATTTTCTAGGGGCTGTCATAAAGTTTTTATATCACCAAAGAATGAAAGAGCATTTCTGGTTCTCTAGTCTTACTTGTTATTTTACAGCTAAATTTTTGTTTAAAAAATTTTGCTCCTTGTCACTTTCATGTCACTTTGTTACTCTTCTATAGTTTTTTATATATTTATTTTTCTTGTCTGTTCACTTTTAAAGGAATAACCCCCCCCTTTTTTTCTGGGGAAATCTGTAGATGCATTATGGTGGTACAGAACTGGATCTTTTAGTTTGGAGCCTGAAGAATTAGCATGGTACTAGTTCTAGATTGGATTTTACTAGATTGCATGCTCAGAGCAACTGAAAAATCAGAGAATTATAAAAAACCAACAAACCAAAGCCAAAAACCCTCTAAAAAGGGTTCATAAATATGTTCTCTTACTCCATTTGCTGGAAGATTGGTGGAAGTATCTGCTCTTGATACATCCATTTCCTACTGAATAGAAATGCTTTACAGATAATCCAAGAGGTCTAGGAGATAAGAGTATGGAAATACATTAGCTTTCTAGTCACAGCACACACGGATTTATGTGGGGGGGATTAATTCAGACCAGTTTATGCTCTCCGCCTTGTCATACTCTTATGCTTTTTCCCCTCTCCAGACAGCTAGGTTAGAAAGGAACAATGGGGAGAGTACGTGAGACTTCTTTAGAATTTTAGGGACACCACTGCAAACCTGGTCTCTTCTTTCTCCGAACTTGTTGTCAACAGTAGATTATTTTGTGTTGAACCTTGCTCAGAACCATAGCTTGCATTGTCTCTCCTACAGATTGGTTGAGGAGTTAACCCTAAGTTTAAGTGGCCTTATTTAAGGACTTAACACTTTGAGGGAGTCCTAGGGTCAGAAGCAGGTCAGGTTTTTTCCACTGAGGTCTGTTGTACTGTCTGAATGAAAAATGAGGGACAGTGGAGGTGGCTTAGGCAAACCACACGGTGAGCAGGTAAGGCTTTTGCTTGGTTGTGAATTTCACAGTGGTGAGGTACCAGTGCCAAAACTCAGGGCTTTAAGCCTGGGCAGATGTAATCAAACCAGGCTAGGGGAACGGTGAGACAAATCTGTGTGACTTGCTTTGTGTAAGATATTTTTTTTAGGTTTCAAGGCAAAGGAGTTCAGAAAACTTCCTTTCTTGATGATCCACAATTGTGGATCTTAAATAATAGGAAGGTATTTATAGCTGTCTGAAACTCTTCCATATGCTCTGCTCAGGAATTAAATAGATAATAGAGAATGGAAATGAAAATTAATGCTCGGGGAACTTGACTAATTGTTAGTAGGTGGAATTCACTGAGCACTGCAAGTAGGTAAAAATAACTTTGACTTGTTCAGAAAAGAACTTGCTCAAAACTTAAGAATGAAGGTTGAGTAACTATTGCTGAAAAAGTCATTTTAACGGGAGCAAATGATGGGATGACCTTTCTCTTACTGTGTGAGGCTGAGGGGTCTGATACATTCATAAGCAGAAAGCTCATAATGGGGCTAAAATACCCCATTGTGTAGGTCTTTCATCTTAATTACATAACACAATATTTAGAGGTAGTATGGATTTTCCTAATCGCATTAGGGGTCTTCTTGGGATTTGTTTGCAGGGGTAGTTATTAAAATGCCTTTCCAATAATTAAAAGAAGGGTGTTTTGGTTAATTTTCATTGTTGACTGAAGAGAAAATTGAGTTGAAATTTTATCCTTCCCTCCTCCAGTATATACACATCGTGGTGCTGCTGCAGGCACATGAATTGCTGAGAGGAATGGTTCTGTGAGCATGCAGAAGTAGTCAAACTGCTGCGCAGTGATATCTCCCAGTCCAAAAGAAGCCTAGCTGTGTTTTTGTGAAGACGTTTAGAGTCAAATGCTGGACTTGACGCCATGCAAAATGGAGCTTTGAGTGATCTCTTTTGCCTTGTGCCAGGCATTGGTTCTTGCCTCCTTTGCCCTGTGGCCGTAGTAGCTGATCCTTTAAATAGAGAACATGGATATTCATGGTTGTTGGGGGAAGAGTGGGAATAAGTTTTATGGCTGAGGGTTCTGAAGAAATCACTCTGTGGCATAGGATGTTGCTGACATTTTCTCTGTCTGCCTCTAATTACCTTTGCAGGGCTTATCATGGTTTTAGCAGGGGCATCCGAATTTGATCCTCAGTACAATAAAGATGCTACGAGCAGACCAGCAGACAACATTCAGATACCACAGGTTAGTAATATCAAGAGCTTGTTTTATAAATAACTGATCAACTTCAAGGGAAGAGGTAGATGGTGCTTCTAGGTGACCAGCTGACGGAATGCAAGTTGTCAAGGCATTAATTTTGTTGAGATGCGACAGAAACAGGAATTAGAAGCTAGACTTGATTTTTTTATTTTTATTTTTTTAAAGAAATGATACCATTAATTGGCGATAATGCTTAGATTAAATGGAATCAGTTTAGTATATAGACTGCTGAGTTGGGGTTTTGGGGAGGGGTAAAAGAGTGCCAGTCCTTACAAATTATGAGTATTGATAGGAGGTGATCGCCATTTGATAAAGTTTTTTTTAAATCATTAACACAGATCTGGTTAAATATGTTAGTACTGAAATAAAATTATTATCTGATGTCTGAACTAATAATGTCTTGAAATATTATAAAAATTCCTTCATGAATGTCTGTTTCCCTCTGGTTGCCTTTTATTTTCATTTCCACTCAGTCTTCCCAACAGAGATGTGATAATGCATACTGTGAAAAATATCTGTTCCTAGCAGAGTTTTAGGAAGTCTTAAAACCAAAATGTTAGTTTCTGATAAATAAGTTTAAAGCACGGTATGCAAAATGCCCTAATGAAAATGATGCAAGTTTGCAAAATGAGGGGGCGTAGTCTCACAGATTTAACCTTTGCATGCACACAATTGAATTTTCAAGCAGTAAACATATTTTCATGTGCCAAACATAAAGAAAATAGACTGAGATACCTCTTTACTTAATTGTCTTTGTCTCTTTTACAAATTCTTTATCATTCTGTGAACTTAAGGAGAAGGAGCTGGAGTTGTGGTTAGGTGAGGTTTTTCAGTAATGGGAACACGTGACTGGAAAAGATCACCTCGATCATCAGTTCTTCTCCTGTGCTGTTGCAAGGACTGGCATTGTACGAGCCCTTTACATTTAATCGTTCTTCATTTAAAAGGCAGTCAAACCTCCGGTAACCATATCCTACTGAGAAGCTGTTCCAGAACTTACTGTTCTAGTGGTTAGAAGTCTTGTCTGTGACCAATTTATAGCCATGTTTTTTGTCATCATTATCATTGAGTCTAAATGATTCTTGCCGTATATATCCTTAGTGCTTTTATAGACAGAAGCAATAGCACATTTGTTCTCTTTTTGTCTTTATTTTGCTGAACTAGAAAAGCTGCTGTATTTTAATCCCCTCTTTCCCAAAAGGCTCATTTCCCTCATTCTGCTACGTGCTGAATAGGGTACTGTTCCTCGTTAATACATTTCTAAATGTTAATTTTTTTTTATTTTATCTGCTCAGAATTGTTCACAGTATTCCATGTTATGTCTTAGCAGTGCCTTATCAGTGGCAGTAGCATTCCTGTATTTCCAAAGGGAAAAACTTTCAGCATACTGTTTTCCACAACTGTTTCATAGAGTGGTTTAATACAACTAGTGTGGGATCACTACGTCTTCTTGATTTCTCTTGTCTTACATACTTCTGTTTTCCAGCTAACAAGCTCCAAGCTTCAAGCTGCAGTTCTTGTTAGTATGCCAGTGCATGACCTTGCATTTTATACTATAGGATTTTGTTCCATTTCTAAAGGTCCAGTCATAGTGTTGTCTGTGTTCTTTTTTCTGAGTATATGGCAGTACAAGTCTCTGAAGCATCTATACAGAAGGGTATTGCTAATAGTTTTTTGTTAGTGTATCCTGCTTTTGGGGCCATGATCATTGTTCCTATTTTTATTTCACTGTTGTATCATAAACCCAATATCTATACTTGTTACGAAGTTTTCTTATCAAAGTTTTACTCTTCTTGGTCTGGTGTTATACCAGGATGTGCTTA